AAGTTGAGTAGGCTTCCAGATATTAAAAAAAATAATAATTCAAGTGTCACCAGCTTCCAATTCACAACTACAAAATCTATAAAAAAACAGAAGTGTGGAACAGCTGTCCAGCTCTGATAACAGTTATTAAAACTCATGCAACAAGCTCTTGAAGCTCTTGTCAAACATGCACACAGGACATTCAGCAGAATACTCTGGCAATTACATACAGACCTTTTCCACCACTTGTTTTTCACACATGCACTTCACAGTGAGAGATTTTCTGCTGCAGATGTGCTCTCACAGCATGAGAAACGAGTGAGGAGGAGGAGAACATGTCTGGAAGGCTTAGGAGAAAGGGTATAATGCAGATATATAGCATATAAAAACCTCTTTTTCTAACAGCATGATGAAAACTGTGACTGAGGCTCCCTTTAGACAGTAGTTAAATATATCCACGAGCAAAAACGCAGATTAGATTCAAATGTGAATGTGCTGCACGCTTTGGATGTTCCGCAGGACGCGCTTCTACGTTTACGTATAGCATCACTTCCAATTCAGCTCAAAAAGGGAAATTGAAGGTTGTCATAACTTTTATCTGAACTTTACCTCCAAAGAGCCGCTGTGGATGGTGACGCTGTGGGCAGGAAGGATCTCTGGTAGCAGTCAGTCTTGCAGCCAATCTGAAGAGGCCTCTGACTGAAGACTGTTGCTGTATGCCAGATTATTGGACAAAAACTTCCAACTGTAGCTTTGTTTCTAAGCTCCACCCCTCAGTATGGACATATGAAGAATGCATGAGGCTGTCAAAACACGTAAAACCGGTAGTTGACAAAAGCGGCTTCAGTTTCACGACTCTGTTCAGCCTTCCTGAAAACCTTATATCTGCTCTTTATTCAGACATACGTTTCCTCTTGGAACCATCACTGTTGTCCAGGATTATCCCAAGTCATTAATGCCCAACAGCACAGTGCCATTGCGTAAATATGGTGCTGTGAAATTCTCCTGACCGGTTCCTTTGTACAGTAAGACTCTTGATTCTTTTTAACCTCTCTGCAAACCAAGGAAGAGCTAAAAGAGACAATGACCAAATACCAGGAAGACCTTAAAGGGAAAGCAGAGAGCCATTTTTAGATCAGATTCACCTCGACTGATTCTCAAAAACAAGTCGGTTAAAAGCGCTCATTCCAGCGTTTTACTTTATGCTTTCCCTTAAAACATTTGTGTTTTTACCTTTCAGTGCACAAGATGTGGCACGTCAAAAGTAAAAGTTTAAGAACCTTCAGGTATTTTGTTTCATAAAAGAAAAAAAAAAAGAAAAAAGCAGCGTGTGGACACTTCTTACATCCACTTCCTACTTCTCATTTCAGACTGAAAGAAGTCAGTTGTTTGCCAACTTAACTTTGCTCTTCTGCAAGCCTTGCTACACAGCTCAGATTTATGCATTTGTATTCCTCAAACACTACAAAATGATGAACTCAAAGAAAAATGTGTAATCCAGAGAGCCAAAGCACATCCTTCTCTTACAAAAAGCAGCGTTACTTCTGGCAGCAGGGTCGATTCATTTGAGTGAGGCGACGTCTTCGCACAAAACACTTCACTGAAACCACTAACTCAAACCTTGAAAGGACTAATAATTTAGAGCCGTCTTAAGAAAACCGAACTACGCTTTTCGACGACAACATGACTTTGCAAAGGAATTACCTTCGCCAAAGAAAAAAAAAAGTATTAAAAATATATTTTTGACTGTAATCAGATCAGCCAGGGACTCATCAAGCAGTCTTTCACTAAATCAGCCTCGCCTGCGCTGTTCACACATTGTACAATATGCCTGACATTTTTAGAGTTTGCAAATCCAATCATAATTCCACAAATTGCTGGCTTGTTTAATGTGATGCTTGGGCAAAGTGGGGGGAAAAAAGCAGCCAAACTAACAGCACCAATCAAGCATGTCTCAGGATGATGGCCTCTTCCAATCAGCAGATGGCTCATTATATTACTTTCCATTCTTGCTGTCAAAAAGGTAAGAGATTCATCAGCACAACAGAATGTAGTAAAACACCAAACCAATCCATAGACACACCACTGACCAAAACTCGTTTCTTTGTTTGGAAAGGTCTTGAGTTTTTTATGAGACCCAGAGATGTCCATTTTTTCGTAGCTCCAGAAAACACTAACAGCAAGGAGGAAAGTGCATCATGAAATAAACATGGGATAAAAAATAAACACGAATTTCAGATGGTGGTCTCAAGGTTACACATGTTGTGCAGGTCAGGAGAAGAAAACTATAAGAACAGAGAGATTTTTTTTTTTTTTTTTTTTTCAGATTTAGCTGAAAGCAACTACAGTAGCTTACAAAAGTTTTCTCAACCCTTGAACTTTTCCACATTTTTTCATGTTACAACCACAAACACATCAGAGTTTGTGGCTTTTTGTCATAAACTACCTTTAGAGTTGTTTTTTTTCTTTTAAATTTGTCAAAGCATTGACTGAGCACATTTGTGAACTATGATCTTGAACGTACAACAAAAAGCTACAACTAATTGGTGCAGTACCAAGCATGTACAGACAAACCCAAATCTGAGATTCTGTGGCAAGTTCTGAAAAATCTCTCCATTTAATTTGATTAAGCTTGAGTCACTTTGGGGGGGATAAGGATGAAGAAAAAGGTGAGTCTCTAGACCAGGGGTCTCCAACTCCAAGTACTTAAGAGCTACTGTCCTGAAAAGTTTACATCGCAAACAGCTGAATCGAATGGCTGAATTACCTCTATAGCACGTTATCAAGTTTGGCTGAGGTATCGTAACGAGTCAGGTGTGTTGGACCAGGAACGCATCTAAAAGCTGATCTGGACTGGAGATGGAGAGGGAGTGAATACAAATGCATGCCACACTTTTCAGATTTTTATTTGTCAAAAAAAAAAAAACGTTTGAAATCATGCATATGCTGATATGAATGATATAGTTCAGCTGCGTCTCTGTACTTTAACCAAAGCAGATATCAGTGTAGTAACACTTTTAGGACAAAATTACAGTTTTATGCATTTTTTTTCTTTTTTTAAACCGCTTAGTTCGATGGAAGCACTGCTTGGTTTTTGAGGGTGAAGAGAAACAACAACAGAACAACAACAGTTCAAGTCTTTTCATAGCTGTGAGGGCTTTTAAATTTTTGCGTATCAAAGACAGTCTTTTGCTCTCCTGTCTGTGACAAGTTGCCAAGAAGCTGCACTGTAACTGTGGAAACAGGCGCCACTTTACAGCCTTACAACTGAAGCAAGGCAGCTCCAACTACTACAGTAAAGTACAGGGGGGAGGGGAACGGTACCACAGGTAATGTAACGTATATGTCTGCTAATGAATACTAATGGATGCAACACACAGGACCACCCATGATTAAAGAAAGGTCAGTCCTGCACACTTCCCAGCAAGTCAGACCCAGATCACCTGAACCTCTCCTGGCTTCAAACCTGGGCTATAAAGTGCAATCAAGTTATCAACATAATTGAAAAGGTAAGTGTCACCCTGAACAAGACGGAGCACCTGTCCTTGAAAATTAATAAATGAATGTCTCAGTCGTGGAGCATGGCTGAATGCCACACAGTACAGGAAGGAGTGACGGTGCATCCTGGCCGCCGGTCCACCCCCCACAGCCCATGTGACACAGCTACAACCAGGAATAATCCGGCATTGTGATGACAGCATCACCAGACCGGATCAGTGGGCTGTCATGTCAACAGCCTGCTGTGATTACTCGCAGCGGCTGGAGTACGGAGCTCCAAAAGGGGCAAGCATATGGAAGTTGAAAAGGTGTTTGAATGCGATAGGTTAATTTGGATTTATTAAATGTTTGAAATCGTCATTTTACTAGTCATTTAAACATTTCATGATAATGTTTTGCAGCACGTCACGATTTTATCTTATGTGGTCAGCTTGACCCATCAGCACTAGACACAAAGTGATTGGTCTGCAGGTTAGCCAATCAAAAATAAGCATGCATCTGACAACCCACACAGATAATTTAAATAATTTTATGATGGAAAGTAACAAGATGTAAAACAAATTAATATCCAATTGTAATTAACATTTACTTATTTAGTAAATTAGTGACATTTAAATAATTATAGATGGATTTATTTCTCCATTTCATTGAAATCTTCACAATTACAAAAATGTATTCATTTATTAGATTAAAGCCCGTTTGGCATTCCATAGTCAGTTTTAAATGGTCCTGAAAAAGGTGAGTACACCCTGTCTCTAACTGCTGAATAGGCAGGTGTATACAAAAGTATGGATAGTTTTCATATTTGTTTTTAGTTGTGCATTTAACAAACTGACATTTCAAATATCCTTTGTTTTATCAATCTACATTATTAGCATTGTGACAATTGCAATCCTCCACAGAAACTTCGTGCACACTACATCAGGTGGGTATATCCTCCAGGAAACCAGCTCCGAATCAAATATATCGACCACCGACCCGCGTATAATCCCTCGGCGAACCATTTTTTTAATTTCACTCGCTCTACTTTAATTAAGTTTGAAATTAATTACAAACAGTTCTGATAGAGAGCTGGTACTTCCTCAGTCTACAACAAAGTTGTACCAGCAGCTGAACACTCCACATACCTTCCAGCGCCCTGCGGTCGTCAACCACAGTTGCACAGATGAGAGCTAACAACCTGCAGAAGATGCAGTCCGACCAGACTGGTAACCCAGATCATCACGATGAAACGTCAAGATCCCGCATACATGCTGCACTCCGCTCCTCTGACAATTAAAGTGATTGTGCCAAGGACATGAGACAGAAATCCCTTCACTGATCATCACAAGGGAACAAGTGTTTGAGTCCAGCGGAATATAAAACATTTAAAATAAGTTTAAAAACTTATCGCTGTTAAAGTAACTTATGCAAAGAGATTATTATACGTCATGTTTATGTAAAAGGGAAAAAAAATGGGTCGACTTAAGCATCTTTCATTGGCACAGCGAGCACTTACAAATCGATCTGATCTGCTAGCTTACCATGGATCAAACTCGTGGATGATGCTCTCGAACCGGATCACAGCGAAAAGTCTGGAGCTGAATCCTGCCAGGCAGGCCAGAAAAAGAATGCTGAAGGAGAGTAGAGACTGCCACCCGGCCGGTTGTGTCAGTCCGCCAGAGAGGCCTCCTTTGCCCCCTGCTCCTCCTCCACCGCCGGCGCCAGGTCGGCTGTTTCCGTGCACCGAGCTCCCAGAATTGCCGGACGCCTTGTGCTTGCCGTCGCTGGCTGCATGGTGCTCCGCCATTTCTGCGTGCGATGTCGGTCGGATTCGTTAGAGAGCGTCCGTTCCCCCCTACTTCTCCTCCTCCTCCACCGCCTCCTGCCGCTCTCCCGAGTCTCCCTCCGCTCCTTAACCGTTGTAAACTCCCCTCGGCTGCCCGTGCTCAGGGTTCCTCTCTCCGGAGCCGCTCCCGGTGTGTATTTAAACGTGCTTTCAGTTGACTACCGCAGCCGTTACGTTCCTGCCCGCATACTCCTGCGCCACAGAGCCAGCGCTGCTCGTTCAATCCGCTTCACGACTGAACGCCGGTGGGAAGAGGCGGGAGGGGATAGAGTGGGCGGGGCGTCCGGGAGAGCTTGTGGCCTTTCACAGATCGACAGGTACAAGAGGGCGGGGCTTCGGGTTCATCAGCCAATAGCAAAGAAGATTTGTTTAGATTGCCAGAGAAGTTATCCAATAGATGATTAGATAAATCGTGGCCGGTTGTGATTGAAAAATGAAGAAAAAAAAAAAAAACTCCTGGCACATAGAGAGGCTCCATAAACAAAGAATAAGTTGTTTTAGATACTTAATGTTAGGTTGTTAATTAATTTTCTAAATCTGCTTGATAAGTGTTTTCTGCAAAATTAATGCCAGTTTATATATTACAATGCACTGCCAATCTGAAAAACAAATCCATACCTGGATTTAAGAAATGAAATGGGAAAGAACCACCCATTGGATAATTTTTGAATAATTATTCATTAATTTCGTTTCTGTTTTGGTCCAGCAAATTATATTTGAATTGAACTGAAAACATCTTTCAGCTGGCAAGTTATTCAAGTCAAGCTGATGCTGTGAGTAACTTCTCATCTCTTAACCCACCATGTCAGGATACACATCCTGTGGTTGTGGAAAGGATGTTGGTGTATTTCAGAACAGAATTACGTGCATGCATCAAACAGAGAAAACAAAAAGACTGCTGAATGAAACTGGGCTAAGAACTGTCCAACTGGAAGGACACATGGGGGAAACAGCATGTTCATGGTAGAAATGTGGCTGTGAAAAATGGCTGATGATTATGAGGGATGACTTAGACATCTCTACATGCAAAATGTACTGATAGGATTGAAAATAAACTGCTTTGCTGCCTTGAGAAAAATAATGATTGGTTTGGGTTTCCTGGGGAGAAAATGTTAAATTTAATAGGGAGCATAAAGATTAGACTTTGGAGCAATGGAAGAAGGTCATGTGGTTTGAGGATCAAATATTTACCCTGTTCCCTCTGCATAAGGTGACCCTCGTATGATGCTTAGGGTCAACTCTAGAAAGTAGCACTTACCTCACAGCCCAGATAGCACATGATGTTAAATCAACGTTGAAAAATAGTTAGAATCGTTGATTTT